GCTGTCTTGTGTGGTGATCGAGGGGAGGTCGAGTTCGAGACAGTGAGTGAGTGGAAAGAAAGCCACCAGGTCTTTTACTCGTCTCGTTTTGGAGCAAATAGTCCTACCTTTGTTATATTTTCTCATATACTGTACCTGTACTGTATGCCGCAGTTTTTGGACAATATATTGTTGCACTTTGTTGCTTGTGTTGTCACCAATGTATGTTGTTAACATACCGTACTTGGACGTTCATACCGGACATATACCATAGTTATCTCACTGTTCTCATGAAAAAAAGTATGGTAATACTTGAATGCTTTTGTTCTGTTGATGTTTGGTATGGATTGTCAACATATACGTTTTTTTATATGTACCATATCTTGTGCTGACCCGGCCCACCTGTCAAATTTAGAAATCAATATGGCCCCCGAGCTAAAAAGTTTGCCCACCCCTGGTTTAGGGGGTCCCAAAGGGGCTGCGCAGGGTGCCTTGAGGTGCTTGTGTAAAACATTTTTAGTTCCGCCGAGTGGTTTCAGCCTGTACAGGTATTTCTTGCCTTAAGCTGCGCTTTTAAAGCATCAGCTGATGTTTCTGTGGGATCATTACGGCTTTTTGCTGTCGTTGGGTAGATTGTGGGCGTGCTTGGCAGATTAGGGGCCAAGAAAGGGCTTAAAGGGCAGGTCGCGCAGGGTGTAAATTGATCCGTTGTTTTCGTCCCAGCGTAAGTGTCTGAGGCGGGGCCTTGGTTTGGTCTCGCAACGGCGACTTTAAGAACTACTCAGTGTCAGGATTTCGAGGAAAAGTGCTTTCCGAGCATATGCAGTAGTGGGGGGGGGGGGTAGATATAGGCTGACACATGCTGCTTATGAAAACCTCACGTGTAAGCAGTAGGATGACTGTAGAAGGCCTTCTAAGCTTAAATAACAGACTGGGTGTGCTCTTCATAACAGCCCGCAGGAGCGTGTGCGCGCGTAGGTGAGGTGAAAAGGTGCTCGTGTTTCAGCCGACGCGTTTTTGCCCTTATCTCCTTCTGCGAAACATCTGGTTCACGTCTGGGCCCAGTCGCGTACTGTAGCACTGGCATGTGTACCGGCGTGATAACGTGTGTTTGCGTGTTAAGTTGGGCGGCGGGTACTCCAAAGAGCACTGTACAGTATTGTACTTTATCAAAACAGGACAGTTGGTGTGTCATGATAATTCAATGGCCATTGTGCTGCTCCGTCCGAGGTGTGTCTTGGCCACCAGGGGGCAGTATAAAACGACACAAATCTGGTGATGAAACACAAAAGAGGATTGATTGCTTTCGTGATTAGTTTCACACTGTTTTTACATACAGGTTTTAGCAATTTGTTTTTACAACCTCAATCCCGCAAATGTTTGCCCACCAGTGATTTAGACCATTGCAAGAGATTTCATTGATATTCCCAAATAGCTTTTTTTTCTCCCACTCGGGAATTTTTCCACAGACTTTGCATCCTTGGAACTTTTAATAAACTTTGGTATTCGGGGGCATGTCGCGATCCACCTCCTGACTTTTTAATAACAACCAGCCAGCGGGTCCAAAGTATTCACACGAAGTGTAATTCCGTGAAGGATATTCAACCTGTTCTCTGCTTGACTGCACTGAGGAGCTTGTTTACTGTAGACGACATATTTGAACCAGATTCCTGGGCCTCACCGAGTACCGAAGGAGGGCGTGCCCCGGCGCTTTCCCGCCTTCTTCACATGTCACAGTTCCTAGAAAACGCCGGTGCTTTTGGAAAGCGTGTGTGTGGTATGAATGTTTGCATGGAAACACGTGTGTGCGTGAGTGAGAGGCAGGAAGTAACAAGGGGGGAGGGGGGGGCTTTCTTCACCGCAAAGCTGCACTAGTTGGCCAAGAGAGTCCGTAAAAGGATCTCAAGGGTATCTCCGGTGTGTATGTATTTATGTTTGTATGAGAGCAGGTTATAAAAATTGAAATCAAAGTAGCTCAGTGAAGCAAATTCACCACACGTGACAAGGTGGTCAGCTGCCCCTTTCAGTGGGGCCCGCAGTGGAAAACCGGCATCATCTCGAAGTGAAATGAAAAAGAGGAAATTATACACTTCCCTAAAAAAAAAAAAAAAAAATCCTAATAATAATAATACTATGCTCACGTTTTAACTTTGATGACCATCATTTTTTTTTTTTATGAGTAATTTGCCTGATATAGTCATGGGACATACCATTAGGTACATTAAGTCTTATGTAGCTACTTTAGAATTCAACGCAAACTAGACTCACACTTAAAAACATTTCTATCAGTTCATACCTCTTCGCCACTGTCCCATAAAAATAGGCACACTGTGTGAAGTCTTTTTACTCTTTTGAGATTAAATTGGGGGCTTTGTGAACACAACTTTTGAAGTACCTGTAAGAAAAACGGACATTTCATGTATTATTATTGCCGTCAAAATGCTTCGAATTTCACCTAAATAGTGTGGGGAAAAAAACCCATCTCTTAACGTGACCCATCTTGCCGTAGCGCCACCTCGTGTTCAATAAATTCCTGGCGTCACTGTCGTCCTAAAATGTCTGCTATGAAAATACGGTCTGGTTTCCTTGACAACAGCTTCCTCTGCTGGTGAAAATTGGGAATGGCATCTTAACAAAAAATTTCCACGGATGATCTCCGGCCTGTTCGTAAATCCACACAGTGCTGTGTTAAAGTCGACCTGACGCATGTCAATCACGCCTCATGGCGGAATGTCTTCGTCCCTGTCGGGCTTCACATTCCTGGTGACAAGTCGGGAACGCTTGCTGCACCTGAGACCAGCCAAAAGAAATTCATGGCAAGTAATTAAAGAAAAAAAAAATCTTAATTCAATTGTCCTTTTCGTAAGCGTGGTAAACATGTGATAATATTTCCACCTCTGTTGTCACACTAATTCCATTCAGCGGTGATGGCGGAGACATGTGGAATTTTTCATTGGCTCGCCCCAGGGGCACCATGCTGTCGGTGCCTGCCTGCTGCTCTTTCTTCTTCTCTTTTTTTTTTTCCTCGTTTTGTTTCCACCCATCCCTTACGTGTCTCTGTGGCCCTTTTTTTTTTTTTTTAACTGTCTTTCAGGAGGTTGTTGCAGCTGATCGCTCTGTTGTTTGTCCATGGCCTGTCCTCCTGCCGCCTCCTGCTCCTACACGGTGGTCCTTATCCCGCTTAGGAGCAGCCTCTGCAGCCTGGACGCGCTTCGCTTCTACTTGTGGGTGAGTGACGGATCTCGATCAACAAAATATTGTCCTCCCCGCTTTTATTTGTCGTCTCGGTTAGGTGTCAGTAAATTATTAAGCACGGTGCTGTACGAAAATAACAAACATACTGTGAAAGGAATCCATCGTGGACAGTTTCAATCAAAAAGTGACTTTCAAACGAAACCCTCGGTCCACGTATTTCACTTTATATGAAGTAGATGTCAAACACTTCGGCGACAGTGCAAGCGAGTGCGGGCTTGCGAGGAAGCCGTTACGCGCTGACACAATATACCCGAAGGGGGTGTGGTGTGCCTTCAGGAAGAACAAAAGGATTTTTGCACCACACCTATTTTTTATTTTTCTCACTCTTGCTCAGTTTAATTCGAGTATCGGGTACGTTTAAAGTGCTTCGAATCCAACTGAGTGGACTTTTGCTCTCTGCCTTTCAGATCAAGCATCTCAAGGATCTAGAAAAGGAAAAAGATATCCTGTACTGCGGTCTGGAGATCCTGGAGCAGGCCCGACTCTGGTACCGCCATCGGCTCGAAAAGAGCAGGACCCGACAGGATGACACAGATGCCAAAAGTTGGGTCAACTCCTGCCGGGAAGGTGTAGCAAAGGTGCCGAGGCCCCAAGTGACTGTTGCAAATATCAAGCAAGTCGAGTTTCAGAAGTTTTTAACTATGCGAACCCGGCATTTTCCAAGCGGCAGTCCGACTCGACTCGAGTCGGGTCATGTGACTGGAGTCGCCCACCTTTTGGTATATACGGCTACCAACTTTGACCAAGCTTGGTGTCCCCACAGGGGGCCCATTCCTGCTGGCTGAGCTCACGCGTGCAGCGGGTAAATGCATCGCTGGCTTCTGTCATGACTGAGGCCAATGACACCAGCACCAGTGGGGACTCTGCGGCAGACGGCGCCCTCCGGTGGCAGCACACCCGACTCACACAGGTCAGCACCAACATTCTGCATGTAAAACGGCAAAATGAACATCCGATGTCACGCTTGTGTACTTACCGTGGAAACAATGGCTGACTCTCTCTCTCTCTCTCTCTCTCTCTCTCTCTCTTTTTTTTTCCTTTTTTTTATAGGAGGTGCGTCAGAAAAATCAACAGATCTCCAAGTTAGAGATGGAAAAAGACACGCTCCTCCAACAACTTTACAAAGTTTAAACTGGCCTTTCTCCTCATTTGTAAATGTCTATTTATTAAACGTAACATTATTGTGGGTACTTTGTCTGACACTTTGTGACCATGGGTAAGGAATTTTGGCGTGACTCTAATCCAAGTCCTGGACTAACATCAGTTCCTGACATTGTTATGAAATAATCTTAAGATTCAACAGTTCAGGTTTCAGTTGTTTTTCCACAACGCACTCGTTGTGAAACCTTGATTTTATTTACACATTTTGAGGTGATAGAGTCCAACAAATGAAATTGGAAATACCAAAATAAGGCAAGAATAAGGTCCAGCATTGAATAGAGTTGCGTATGAAGTCACAGCCCTGTCAGTCCGGGATCTTCCGTTTCCGTTGTGCACATGTGGGCTCTCTGCCTCGACACGCCGCCCCGTCCCGGTGGTCCCGTACTGATCGTAGTTGTGCTGATAAACTTTATCTAAAGGAGGCATCACGCAAGTCTACGGGAATTTCGAGGCGACCTCCTCTTGCCACCCCCCCCTCCCACTCAGCCAGAGTACAACCCAAAAAAAGGTGAATCTAAAAAAAAATAATAATTGTCTTGCACCACTATTGCGACGATGATCACTTTATTGCATTATAGGTGCGGAGGGCTAAATTGTATCGGAATTTAAATGTCTCACCTCTCCGCCATGCCCAAATGAGCCCTTCTGCACACTTCCTGCAAGGAATCCGATTAGGATCAGCCCGTGCGCATCCAAAAAGAAAACATCCATTATGAAGGAGGCTTTCATTTAAGTAGCTTCATGCTCTCTACCTCACCGCGCAAGTGAACCATCCATCAAGGCCAGGGTGCCAGCACTTGACGATTTACCGGCTCCAATTCACACGGCACACAATTTTGTTTTGGGTATGTCACGCCTCACGGTTCAGTTAACTTGCGCTCAATACGGGTATTTCCAAATCCTGTACGTACAATGTCAATCTTGTGGGTTTATTTTATTTTATTTTTGCTTCCAATTTTGTGGGTTTGGTCTCGATGTGCAGTCGCTTCCGTGCAGGTCTGCGGCGCTGGCAAGATATAGGGGTCCCTCATCAACTGCCTGTCGGGTTTGTACCGTGTGTTGCAACAAAAGAAAGCGAGAAAATGCAAAATATTGGCTTTATATTTACACATCATTTACACTTTCTTCGAGAAGTTGTGCCTTTCAAAAAGACAAAAAGAAGAAGAAGTTAAAGGGATTTTTTTTCTCCAGTGCATTCGAACTTAATGTGGTGAGGCGGAAGGGTGGGCCAAAAGCAGGTACTAAACACTTAAAATGTAGGATGCATGCTCCTTCCTTTCTTCCTCCTTGACTTCCTTCAGTCTCCACTTCCCAACTACTTTCCCCTTAGATTAACTTTTCATTTCTTTCCTCCTTCTTTATCGTGTCTGTTTTTTATTCAAGCATCCTTGTCTCCTTCCTTCCACAGACATTTATGCATCAATTTCCCCCCCATCACTTATTATGCCTTTCCTTTGACCCTTTTGGATTGGATACAACTTTATTGTCAAATTTTCTTTTCTTCCTTCCTCTCTTCCCCAGATCCAATTTTTCATTCATGTGTCGTTATGTCCCATTGATTGAACCTGCTTTTCTGCCTTCCTGAAGTCCTCCCTTGCACCTAAGACCTAATTTTTCTCCTTTACGTCTTTTCCGTTCCACATCTACCTTTGGCCCAATGCAGTTGAAAAACAGTTTTGTTTTGTTTTTATGTCCTCACTTTTGGAAAACACTAGTCGCCAACGTCCTCACTGGCATTTGGGCCGTTTGTGGCCAGCTTCCAGTGATATCCCGGCTACGTTCACGTCCAAAAGGCCCTGCAGATGTTTAATATAGTCGATGGCGGCCCGGAGTGTCTCCACCTTACTGAGCCTCTTGTCGTCAAACTCCCTCGGCAGGCGCTCCCGGAGGCGCGCGTAGCCTTCATTGACGCAGCGCACCCGGTGGCGCTCCCTCTCGTTCCTCTTGCGAATAAACGCGGGCTCCAGCGCGTATTCACACACGCTCACCGGACCGGGACACGGGTAATAGTGCAGCCCTCCGTATGGCAACTTGGGGCTGCGGTGGACACGGTCGAGGTAAGCCGGCTCCAGGTGGAAGGAGGGAAGACCGAAGTGGGGGTGCGCTCCGCTAATGTCCACGGAGAAGCAGTGGAGCGCCAGTGGAGGAATATATGGAATGTACTCCATCCCCTCATTGTGATAAGACATTGTTTCCCCCCTGAAAATAAATGTAATTAGTCCCTAATTGCAAACGTGTCGTTATTTGCATAAAGTAAATGAAACTTACCCTATTGTTGTGGCTTTTAGCTCATCCCAAGTTTGTTCTAAAACACAAATTGAATAAAACTGTGCAAAAAGCCTCTTCTCGGTGAGAACTTGAGTCTGTGTGACAACTTGTTACAGTTTATTGGAGCGTTTTCATGGCACACTGTGCGGTGGGTGTGATTTGGGGAGGAGATCTTGCAACCGAGATAACGTTTTCTTCCGTCTCTTGCAACTGCGACCCACATCTCACCATAACAACACTTGACTGGGCATTGAATTGTATTCTTAAAAATGGCGACATCTTGTGAATTTATGTTGTAGGTATTTTCAAAACACATAGTTACTGCACAAAAAGTAACATGACCTGATTTACAATCGCCCAGATGCGCGGAAATTATTATAATTTAGGGGAGCAACATCACTCTCCCTTAGCTTCACTGCGCATGCGCAAATGCATCCCAGCTAGGGTTTACTGCTCATGCGCAGGAATATCGAGTTGATGACGTTTTACTAAGGCTGGTTGTATCACTGCGCATGCGCAATAAAAGAGTGCTGCTACGCCCCCCATCAGGCGAATGGTATGACACTGCTGCTTTATTTTTTTACGACTTTTTCCTCAACCGGCTCGTCTATTTTTTTAACCAATTGTCTCACATTTGATCGCGATTCGTCACATGTGTATATTCGTTTTTTGAACCGGAACACGTCGACCCGTTTTGCGGACGAAGAATAGTCATCGAGAGCTACGCTAACGCTCAGTTAGTAGTGTGATAAACAAACTACTCTAGCTGGTTGCAGTATGCTTTGGTTCGTAAATTAGTCCTAATGCAAGTGGAAATTGTCTATTTTCATACTTTACAGGTTCGAATATGTAAGCCAGCCATGTCTGGTTTACTGACGGAAAGAAGCTGTTGATTTCAGGTATGCTAATATTGTTAGTACTGATGTAGCCTTGCCATGACTTGGATTTTTTTTTTGTTTGTTTGTTTCTGAGGGTGAAAAATGCAGGTCTTATAAGTGACAATGTTGTAGGATGAATGACATGAACCTGAGTCCAGTGGGCATGGACCAGCTGAGTGTGCCTTCAGTGAGTGCGAGCCACTTAGGCCTGGCCACCTCACCACCACATAACACCATCCCCACCCCAGGTAAGATAACACGAACTCCATTTGGTGCGTTCTGCATTATTGTTGAATTACTCTGTGTATTTTGTTGCAGGGATGCCAGTTGCCATCCCCAGCCTGGGTCCTTCTTTAGGCTCCCTTCCCTCCGCGTTGTCCCTCATGCTGCCCATGGGCCCTCTGGGGGATCGAGGAGTCATGTGTGGCCTCCCGGATAGGAATTATTCCCTGCCACCTCCTCCTTACCCCCACTTGGAGAGCAGCTACTTCCGACACATTTTACCGGGTAGGTGATTCTTCCCATTTAAAGGAGAAATAAGGTTGTCTGTAATGTCACTTTATCGGATGAGTGCATACGTGTCAGTCTGTGGCGTTTCACTGAGAGTAATAACATTTGTGTTGCTTTAGGTATTTTGTCCTATTTGGCCGACCGTCCACCACCTCAGTACATCCATCCCAGCAGCCTTAACATGGACGGGACCCTCTCTGTGGCCAGCAACAACCCCTCGGGTCTCGACCCTTACAGCGGAGCGGGCGGCCCGCTGGAGCAGGGCTTGGTGCCCTTGGACTCGAGACAAGTCAGCGGCCAAGGAGACCTCCACCAGACTGGCACCCATGATTTGGACTCTACAGGGTTAGCAATGGAGTCTCGCGACAACAGCCCCATGTCCCCGGACAGAATGGGAGAGGAGCTGGCCTCCATGGACGGAGTCGGGGTGGTCCCGGTGTCTGACAGCGGGAGCCAGCCCCTGTCTGGGGTGGACTCCTCCGGCGGGGTCATGCCCCTGCATGGACCCCCTGTGCTGGAGCTCCCCGTGGTAATGGAACCGGATCACATGGGGGGCCGCGTGGGCAATGCGGGCGCAGGAGCAGCAGGAGGACTCGGGGACCAGCTCCACCCGAACGGGGAGCTGAATTCCGGCGTTGTTAGCGTGGTGCTCACCAGCTCCATGGCCGACCAGGGTCAGCTGGGGCCCGTGTCCCTCCACGGGCACTCCGGAATGGGGCTCGACTCGGTGAATGTCTCGCCCATCACCACGGAGGTATCGCTGGGTCCGGAGAACAATTTGGTGCTGGTCAACTCCAGTCTGCAACTGGAGGATTCGAGCCCCAACAAGGAGGGCATGGTTACTGCTTACACGATTTGTAAGTATCTTTGGAATGGATTGAAAAAGAGATGCGGGGGAAATAATCATCAAAATGTGCTGCTCTCATCATCTTCGTCACTCAGGGTGCACTCTGTGCGAGCGCTCGTATACCTCAGACTGCCCGGAGCACGGCCCAGTCACTTTCATCCCAGACACGCCCATCCAAAGCCGGGCTCGCCTCTCCATCCCGCGTCCACTTTGCCTGCGCATCTCCGTAGCCGACGAGCCGCTCGGTAAGAGAACCCAAAAGGCGCCAGCAGACTTACAGTGCGCTGGCATTCGGACAATATGTTTATCTCCTTTTTGCTGCTTGCGTCAGGTGTTTTTGCACGCGACATCATACCAGCGAGGACCTGCTTCGGACCCATGGTTGGCCAGCACTGTAGCAACGTCGATCTCTCTGACTGGGCGGAAAAAGACACGCCTCAGATTTGGAAGGTTGGTTACCATGAATTATGATGAGGATATTCTTGGCTTGGGTCAAATTGACCCGGAACATAAAAGCGTACGTAAGGAAGAACGCTTGATCACGACAGATGTACCACAACAATGTGCTGGAGTTCTACATCGTGACGGCAGATGAGAACGAATGCAACTGGATGATGTTTGTACACAGGGCAAGGTATGAACATGCTGTCTCAAGGCAACATTTTGTCCTAAAACGATCTTTTCATGATGATGAATTTATTTCTCAAATGGAATCCTTGTTGCTTGTAGGAGTCGCGAAGAGCAGAACCTGGTCGCATACTCATCCAACGGGAAGCTCTTCTTCTGCACGACCACGGAGATCCACCCGGACGAGGAGCTGCGCTTCTACTACAGCCGGGAATACTGCCGACTCATGGGTCAGTCTTTCCTTTCTCTTTCTTATTCATTATTTTGCTCTAATATGTTAATCTGTGTAGTGATAAAAAATATTATGCCGGTTTAAAAAAAAAAAGAAAAAAAAGCTACTGTAATCGTAACTTGTAGTTAATACAGATAAGTACCTTCCTCCTGTATTAGCTTACCTATTGACCTACTCTACCTATTGACTTATCGACCTTACTTGTTTACATACTCGCTCCACAACACTTCCTTTACTTACTCTGCCACTGACAATGTCGTACATACCGTCTGCTGAACCCTCCATCATGTATCCAGGTGTTCCTCCTTTACCCGAGGCTCAGCTCTGCCAGTGTGGCAAAGACTGCTCCTCTTTTTCGGACCTCAAGCCTCACATGAGCAACCCTGACCACAACCAGCCCCCTCACAGCCACAGCCCACCAGAGCGGGAGCACCCGCTTCAGCAAGAGCAGCAGCAGCAGCAAGCGCCGCCGCAACCGGATGCAAAGCTCACCAACGGGACGTCGAGCTCTTCGTCCTCTCCGTGGCCTCAAGCGGCAGGACCGACCAACGGGGACACCCTGAACGCCAGTCAGAACTCAAGCGCCGGCACCTCCAGAACGAACGCCAAAGGTTCCAGGCATCCGCGGGAAAAGAAATTCAAGTGCAGCATGTGCTCGCGGGCGTTCATCACTTCCACCAAGCTCAACGTGCACTTCATGGGGCACGTTGGCATGAAGCCGCACAAGTGCGAATACTGCAGCAAGGCCTTTAGTGATCCCAGCAACCTCAGGATGCACCTCAAAATACACACAGGTGTGTATGACTTCATTTGCCACCTTTGGTGTGTTCTGCCTCACAATTCTGTGAACTAAATAAAGCTGAGTTGTTTTTTTTTCTTGTTATGACTTGTTTCAGACCGTTGATGTTCTTTCCTTCTGCCGTAAACAGGTCAGAAGAACTATCGGTGCACGGTTTGCGAGAAGTCCTTCACGCAAAAGTCCCACGTGGCGTCTCATATGCTCATCCACACCGGCGCCGAGAAACTCAAGTGCGACCTGTGCGAGCGGATGTTCATCCGAAAGCACGACCTGAATCAGCACATGTTTTCTCACACCCAGTACGTCCGTCACCTTCCACTCCGCAACCATCAGATTAGTATTCTTATTATTTTTTGCATTTCTAACTTTTTTCTTCCTTCACAGCGAGCGTCGGATTCAGTGCCCCAAGTGCAACAAGCACTTCCTGAAGCCAAACCACCTGAAGAAGCACATGAACTCCCACGAGGGCCGCCGGGACTTTGTCTGCGAGAAATGCCACAAGGCCTTCCTCACCAAGTACCACCTCACACGCCACCTCAAGATATGCAAGGGGCCCAAGGCGGAGCGCTCATCCCGGAAGGAGCGACACGTGGACGAGGAGGAGGACGATGAAGAGGAAGAGGAGGAAGCCGAGAATAGCGGGGGCAGAGGAGGGGAGAGACTTTTGGACTCTGGCAGGAGTGAAGACGTTGGAGGATATAACTCTGAAAAATCACTGTCACCCCCTCATTGACTACAGAGTCATATTAATTTATTGACTGGCATACATTACACTAATGTTTACCTCTCATTTTTCAAATATTTTTTCAAATGTTGTTATTTTACATTCATGTTGAATATCACAACCATATCAGTGCTGCTAAAAGACTCATAACTTTTGACTTGTCTAGTTTTGATGTAGGTGCATAAAAGCTCTCATTCTTTATCTGCCTTAGACTCATTTTTGTGTGAGGAAGTAGTATTTATAGTTTTTGTGTTATTGTGTAACTTTCAATACAAGTTGGTCGCTGGGTAACAGTCATGCAAAATTCTGGAAAATGCCATGACTGTGGAGAAGAAAAAAGCAGTAGAACATGTCAAAAATCAGACAAGAAAAAAACAATAGAACTTGTCAAAAATTGCTCTGGAGAGAAGACAACTGATAGTTTGAAAAAGGCAAAAGTCAGATTTGACGTATCATATAAATATTTTAATCGTATGCGTTTATAAAGGCGACAGAGTTGGCGAGTAGTGGGTGAAGACATTTACTGTATTGTATTTGTCATTACAGTAATTAACTCTAAATTAGTCTGGCGTCCTTGGAGCTGAGAGAGACAGCATCCGGGAAAGCCCGGATGTACGTAATTCTGCTTCCGGGTCAGGAGAGAGCGGAAAAAACATGGAACGATTTGCGGTTCTAAACCTTAGCGTACTATGAATGTTTTAATGTACCATACAGTATTTTTTTTACCATAGTCTTTGTTTTAGACATTTTTAATGTAACGTTACTTAAACAAAACATCACGTTAAACCTTTCGATGTTTGCGAAACCATTGTTTGAGGCACCGGGCTAACTTTAGCTAAGTTAGCAACTCAACTAACACGAGTACACGATCTCCTATTAACTTGGAGTTTTTTCTTGGTGTGAATCTTGATAATTTTGGTCCTTTTTTTTTTGCCTCAAATTGATGAAGATGTTGACCCCACCGAAGGAGGGGCTGCCCAACATGATTGACAAGGCACTGAGGATGAGGAGAGAGGAACAAGCTCGCCAGGTGATGGTCGCCTGGGCTATTCTAAAAATGTCCCTGGCTGGCATGATTTACACTGAAATGTAAGTTTAGTTTCTCACAGTTATATGTTTTTTACTGATAGTTTTCACAATTCACTCTAACATATCACAGTGTGTGAGGTAAATACTCCTTGGTCACTCATAATTGAAGTCGTGATGGTACAATTTTTTTATTTAGGTCTGGAAAATTGTTAAGCCGATACTACAACATCACCTACTGGCCTATTTGGTACATCGGTGAGTCTCTTCTGCGACCAAATTGTACATTTGCCGACAAAAATGATCTTAGCATGTTCTTCTCATTGCAGAATTGGCGCTAGTCTTGCTTTTTACCCTCATCGGTCTCTTTGATTTCTGGAAATACTTTAAATACACGATGACTCCGTCCACTATCGCTGTATCCCTGGAGCAGCATCGGCTCTTGGGGCTGAGTAACACAAGTAAGTCTTGAATAAGATTGACTCTTCTTCAAGAAGACTGGTTCAAACTGCACCTGTTACCTTGTCTGTCCTCTTGCAGGTATTCAAGCTTCTCCTCCCCAGAGGCCAGAAAAAAAGGAGACCCCCGCTTCGACGGAGTCATCCCCTTTGCAGGGCCAGAGCGTTTTGAGTTTCAGCCCGTTGCGTTCTGCCACTGCCAGCCCCAAGTTTTCTCCGAGCTGTGTGGCAGGCTACAGCCCATCTCTCAGTAGTACAACCACCCCAAGTAGTGCCCCTTATTCGCCCTCTGTGGCCTTTGGGAAGGTACGTAACATGACATAACGTGATACGAAATTGACTGGCTTGACTACAAATATTCAGACTCTTCTCTTGACAGGTGTTGAGCTACAGTCCAACCCCTGGCTCCCCGGCATACCCGAGCAGCATCGGGACGCCGGAAAGCTCCGTTTTGAGGGCTCGGTACCGCACGTCGCCCTCTGTGTTTAACTCGCCCGGAAGCGAGGAGGATTACATGGAGGATCTGAAAAGCCTCGAGCGATTCCTGCGCACGGAGGAGGAGAAGAGTCACCGTAGTCAGCTTGGTAAAATGATTTGTAAATTTGGATAGTTTTTTTTTCTTCCAACCAATTTTTGCCTTTTCAATTCAACAAGGTTCTGGACTTGTGTGTATTTTATTTTATGAACCCCTGACTATGGATGGTATTATCAACAATAACTTCTCTGCTATAAGTACTGTGTAGCCGATGTTGACCTCACGACCTCTGAGTTGTGATGTTTCAGGTGGGTGAATGTGTGTACGCTTTTCTAATAGTTCATTTCACACATCTAGGGAGTCCAGAATCTGTCTCCCCGAGTCACAGTCCGACGTTTTGGAACTACAACCGCTCAGTGGGGGACTACGCACAGAGTCTGAGGAAGTTCCTGTACCAGCCCGCCTGCCGCTCTCAGGCGCCCTCTGCCCACAAGGATGAAACAGACCCGGGTTCCAAACAGGCTGCGGAGGAGGTCAACCGGATGTGCATGAGTCGTATGCCAGAGTGACATTCAAAAAAATAACGCGTGGATTGAATTTTGTGCAGGTGTGGGCGAGGATCACAACCAGCCGCCCTGTCGTGGATCGCATCGATGGCTGGACGGCGAAGCTTCGAAATGTAAGTCGTGGACTCGTCGCAAACAAATAAATCAACACCGACTCTGTGTTAAAATATGCAAGATGCTGTTTGTGCTTTCCCAGTGGATCAGTGACACCATCTTAGTCCCCCTGGTCAAGGAAATGGACTCGGTCAACACTCAGCTCAGGAGGATGGGCTGCCCCGAGCTTCAGATTGGAGGTAAACTTGTGCCAAAGGGCTCCATTTTCTTTTTAAAATGGACAGATGGGCTATGCCATGCACAGATAACGTAAATAAAAAAAAAAAGGTAAAGCAAAATACAATATGTAAAATGTTCACAATGAATCAATTGTTCAATTATGGAATTTCTCCATTGTGAGATGTAAAAGTTTTGAATTTACAAATACTTTTTATTGTATCGAGTATAATACATTCACCAATTTATTTCTTGCGCGACACAGAGGAAAAATTTAAATGTTGTTTGTTGCTCTAATACGAAGCGTGCCTCAAACTACCAGAGACAAATTCCTTGTATGGTTTGGCATACTTGCCCGATAAAGATGAATGTCATTCTGATTGTCGGACTCTTGATCACGTAAATACCCCCGCCCGAATAATTGTTCCCCTCTTTTCCCTGCACCAGAGGCCAGCATTAGCAGTCTCAAACAGGCTGCCGTGATGAAAGCGTCATCCATTCCTACTTTGAACTCCATGGTCCAGTACTTGGACATCACTCCCAATCAAGAATATCTGGTGGATCGCATCAAAGGTTTGGCTTACATGTGTGGGAAAATTGACCCTGCTACGAGCGCAACGTTTTCTTGTCTTTTGGAATCGGCAGAGTTGGCACACAGTGGCTGCATGAGCTCCTTTCGATGGAATCGAGGAGGTGATCTGAAGAACCGGAAGTGGGACACGGACCTCCCCACAGATTGTGCTGTGTGTACCATTCGGATACACACACACACACACACACACACACGCCTTGAAAGCATGTTTTCCCATTTCATCTTGATGCAGTCTGCCATTGACACCTCACCTCATGTGTGTGCCCACTCTAGATCCTCATGCATATATTTTGCACCTACCTGGACTCCAGACTGCCTCCTCACCCCAAATATCCAGACGGGAAGACGTTCACCTCGCAGCACTTCAGCCACATCCCGGACAAACCTGGTGAGTGCACGTACACAGAAAAACGCACACATAAAACCAAAACGGGTCCGGTCAGTTTCTCTTTTGTCCGTCTCCAGATGTGACAAAGGAGAACCTCTTCTGCATCCACCAGAGTTGCACCGCGCCGCCTCACTACCAGCTCATCTATCAGGGACACATCTCCAGTCTGCCGAAGGTGACGCAGCGCACACAACAATTTTAAAATAAGATGGACCATGAGTTTAATTGCGCACTATTGTATTGTAGGAAAGAAGTGATAAAAAGAAACACATTTTCATTTCTGATATAGGGCAGGAATAACTTGTTCCATACAATCCTCATGTTCCTCTACGTCATTAAGACCAAGGAGTCAGGAATGCTTGGGTGAGTTTTATTTTTTTATTGACATTTCTGAAAAATTGTGATGTTTTAACAACGGCAAAAAAACCCCACAATGGGACATTAAGATATTTCGCTCAACTTGTGTGTCATTCTTATCCAGGCGAGTAAACCTTGGCCTCTCCGGCGTGAATATTCTGTGGATTTTTGAGGACTGACTTGTCAAAGTTCACAATCGACAACTTCCAAATGATTTTTTTCCCCCTCCTTCCCCGCTTCTTCAATAAGTACGATTGCAGCAGTCGAAAAACAGCACTCAGATAGTCAATACTTATACCAAAATGTCAGAATAGCGGATATCAATGTATTAGCACTGAGAACATGTCAAACACATCGACCTCAATTTAGTCTGTGTAGTGTTTAAGGGCTCAATCCTCATTTGGTTGAATGTTTACAGAAAAAGAGAACACAAATGGTATGTTCTGTATTTTCTTCAACTCAATAGCTTTCTCTTTGTTCTTTGTTTCTTTTTTCATGAAGCATGCATAAATGAAAAACATTTGGAAGTGCAAGTCAACTGAATGTAAAAACTGTCTTTTCAACTTTGAATGTGAATGCTATTGTGTGGCTGTATTTTTTTCAAGTTGTAGGAATGAATGCTGAGATTTTAGACATGGGACTTGTAAATGAATAAAACAAAATTATTTCAAAGTTTCTTTGTGACCACGAGGTGGCACTGTTGTTCCCCCTTTTTTCCCCTGACCTTGTCTGGTTTGATGCAGTGCAGATGCGCAGCGTGAGGTTTGTAATGTGATGCGTTGCGCTGCCTCAAACCCAAACGACCTGGTAAGAAGCAGTAAAAATGCAAATACTGGGGGTGTGTGGAAGTGATTGGGAATTCGCATCGTTTGGTTGTCGCAAAGACCCAATAAGTGGCGAAATTTGTGTTGTTTTGTAGTTAAGTGCTCTGCCTTTCAAAGCGAACACATTTCCCACAACGCACCTCGTGTTTGGGGTTTTTCAAAATATAGTTGCAGTGACTATTAGGGCTATCCAATGTAACTGAAACACGAATTAAAACACAATTAAAAAATTCTTAGGTCTCGGTAGCGTAATTGGCATTGCTAGCAAGTGGGCTGGTGCCACTGTAGTCCAAATACACGTGAAGAACTACAAAGACCAGAAGGCATTTGCCATCCAAGCTTCCTCCACTCACATCCGCTCGCCTCCATAGAAAGGGACTTGGTGAAAAGTGTAACGATGTCAGTGCAGGTTGTGGCAGCGAAAATGGCAGAGGTCGAACTCAAAGACGTCGGCAAAGAATTACCCGCCGACTCTCCGGTTACACCGACGTCGGAAGGAATAATGGCCAGAAGCTACCCGCGCGAGTCCGGTTCCTCCGCCGCAGCGTCCCCGACCGCGGAGCCCTCCGCCAATGCCGGGGAAGGCAACCCGGGCTTGCTCGCCCCGAACGTCATCAAGATGCCGCAGGCGTCGGCTATGAAGCGGCCGGACCCGCAGCAGAACGGCGGCGAGGCGTTCGTCAACCGGGACGGCACCGTGGCTGAGGCGCCGCGAATGAAAAAGGCGAGTGGAACCTTTATTTTTTCTGCCTTTTGCCTTCTTTCCTCGTCTCGAGCGCACGCTGTTTAATGTGTGACGAAGCTAACAATGCTAACCAGGCTGATTCAGCAGTGTGACTTACGTTCAGAACATCACGTTACAATATTTCACAACACTGAAGACGATCTAACAAATGCTTAGTTGTACTTTAAAATAATTATGAGATGAACCGTCAAACTGCCGCCAAGTACTGCCGTGTTTCCTTGACATTCCTTTACTAACCCAGTGTTTTATGGAGCCATGCCACATACTTTAAACTAAAACAAACAGAACCAAACTAAAATAACCCAAATAGTATAATCTACACACGACTACGTCGAAACAATCACGTGTGGTGGTAGTGGAAGTGCATTTAATGGTTCTACTTGTCACTATAAGTTTCTTGGTATAACATAAATGCTGGAGATGGCCTCAATTTTCTACCGAGAGCACACTTCCTCATTAGATGAACGACAAAAATCACACTTTAAATATCGACAAAATATGTGCGCACGTGGATAATATGCTCTCAATATATTTCAATTTTTTATTCACAAAAATCAACTCACTCTAAATGATAATATTGAGGTATCATGTTTGTCCTGAATATCATCCCAAATCTGAAAACAATTGTTAAGGTCATGGTACATTACCATCTAGTGGTGAATGGTGATATTACACCTTGAAACTAGCCTTACTATCATGTTGTTACCAGTTCAATTTGGATGATGACTGGCGTTCCACAGGGGATTGTTTTGAAGCAATATTAATTCCCCCTTCGCATCCGGCAGGGCAGAAGGTGGTTTATTTATAGGTCGGCAGCTACGCGGGGCGCCGATGGCAAACGGCGTTGGACATATATGAACACAGAATACATCTGTTGGAGTCATCCAGTCCAGTAAAAAAAATGGAAGGGAGTTGGTGGGGGGGAGGCGGTGTTGACAACTGGTTAACGCTTTTAATCTCCATCGTGTCCCCTCGTGAGAGGATTAAAACGCCAGCTCTGTGTTGTAAGCGCGGCCCAGATGTGAGCCGTTTTCAGCGAGCGATTTGGTTTCATTGTCATCGGCCAACTTCTGTCAAGTCTCTCGCAGTGGTACAATGAAGGCTAGTGTGAAATATCCTTTCAGAATCCTAAAAACAGCCAAAAAAAGCAACAACAAAAAAAAAACTGTCAGCTCATCTGACTACTTGTCTGTTTTTTTTCTTAACGCGTGCTTTTTTTTCCCCCCCAAGGCAAACATCCCAGATGGTTTCCCGCAACAAACCATCTGTTAGCTACAGTTAATCATTCTCCACCGTCCCGTTTTTTCCCCTCCCTGACATTCACCAGGTGTCCCAAAAAAAAGGCACAGCGAATTCAACGTATGATTCCAGCTCATCCCGCTTTGATGTAACGTAATGTCACATGCGCTAAGCTGGTGTTCCCGGTATTGCTAACAGGCTTACAGCGTGACCTGTGGCCGCCCTACATGTGAAGTGGAGTGAACGGAGGAACGGGTTATGTATTTCCAAAAAAACAAAAAAAATGCCGCCGGGTGGATTAAAGGCTATAAATCAGCAGAGACCTTTTTCCTGTCACGAAATTTCGCCCGGTGATTCTCAACCGGAAAAGATGGCAATCAACTTGTAAAATATGTCCCGTGGCGCAATGAAAGTCGGTTCAAGTATCCTGCACGTGTCCCGTTCGGTCGGGTCGCCATCCGCTGTGTGCAGCTGAGCACATTTGTACCGCAAGTGTGAACCGCCCCAAAGCATCCTCATGACGTGCAACACACATGAGGGAATTTTGCACTGCGGCGTCAGGAAAACGCAAGAGCCCCCCCCCCCACCCCCCTTCCCCGAATGGCCTCTCGTCTTCCTGTGTTCCAGTGGAAATCAACTCGAAATCCACCTGTGGCCAATCTTCCGAGCGAATTATAGCTCTGTGTTCGACTAATGATGCCGACGAGACTTGGCTGCTTATTGAGTTATCGTGGATCATGTTGATTATTGTCAGAGGTTGCACGAATGTACCTTCCGTATTTTAGGGCTGTTAAAGATTAATCAGCCTGGTAATAATTGTAAAATGGCAAGGCTCAGAACGTCGGCTGTGCTTTCAGGCCATTTGTTGCCAATTTAAGGCGATATCAGTGAAAGTCACTTCGGGCCATTCCGGGGCTCCATTATAGGCTTGCGTCGAGCTTTTCACGTCAGCCCGCCTGATTATTATGAAATTTTTTTTTTCCCGCTTCATCTCCTCGACGCGCTCACCGGCGATGCTTTTGTTCCGGCCATAAAGAGAATTGCCGCTGCCTCATTGCCCTCCTGCGCCCCCGCGGCCTCCGCCTGCCCTCTCGCAGTGCAAAAATCTCAGCGCCGCCGTCGGGTAAAAGCGTGCCGCCCGTTCACGCCCCGCTCGCCACCTCCTTTCCGTCCTTTGAGGCCAAATCAGGAAATGGACTGTTGGTCCTTGACACCCCTTTGAATAGCCGTCGTCGCGCTTTGACACGCCGCCTTCTCATCGCACGGAGGGGGGGTTTTCCTGCCGTTCGGCTCGAGTACAATGACGCCCAATTAATGAGAGCTGAACGATGAATCCAATTCAAACGGACATCTCGAATGCCATTTTCCAATCGCAAAAGATGCCGTGTGCGTCATTTCGCTCGGCTCATGTTACCCAATTGCACCGGTGCGTTCGTGTGGAATGTTAAACCCTCTCGGTTTCATCACTGGCAAACGAGCGCGTCGCGAGAGTGTGTGTCCCTGTGACCAGTGAGGTGGACGCGAGTGGACGTCGGCTCGATTTCTCGCGTGACGGTAAATGCAACAAGAACAATTTAAAAAATGAGTTGCTGTTTTTGAAACGTGGTCATATTGGGCTTTTGCCTTTTTTTTTTCATTTTCTTCTGCGCATCTCAAGTCCTCACGCAATGACTACAGAGAGTCTGTAGGATGAAGCCCAACCCCCAAAGACTGCTTTCACACTCCCCGATGAAACTCATTGACCTGTTGTGTTTCTTTCCAAAATAGAGCAGCACCACCCCTGCCTCGGTTCTGTTTGATGTAATTATAGTCGGTCGGCCCTTAGGGAAAGGCAGCTGTTTTTTTGGCAGAGTTGCAGCAAGATGAATACAAAACAAACATTGGCAGAAATGGAGCACTCCCACCAAAAACATCCCTCCCCCCCAACGTTCGCGGGGTTAATTGTGGGAATTACCAGCATGACCGACCCATTTAGCCTTTCGGTCCACTGAAAGGCTTTATTGAGGCATTGGAAGGCAGGCTGGGCAAAAGGTAACAGGTTGGACGGCAAGCAACGACGGATGTTTGCCCCAGTAAGCATCTGCTCATATTTGTCACAGCTCAACAACGCGACGGCGTAAAAAGCCTCGATGCTGCTGACGTGACGCACCATCAAATATTTTTCCACTGCGGCCCTTTAGTCAAACATCACAACACTGAGTCACAGATTATCCGCAGCGGCGACTGCGTCAAGGTCATTTGACCGGACGTTCAAATTGTGGATCGCCCCGAGGCTGACTGACGTAGCAGGAAAACGGAGATGTTGGTTTTGTGTGACCAGCATTTATATCATTTTTTATTTTAAATGATACAACTGAATTATTTTCTGGACCTCCAGGTTACTGCTGGTGGACCCCCAGGAGTACCCACACCCCCAGTTTGGGAACCACTGGTGTAACTGACACCCTCGTGGCTGCTACTCTCGAGCGGACGCCCAGTTGACATGAAGCCTCTGGCAATGCACGTGCGAGGCCACTGGTCGCCCGTGTGCTTTGCGTGCATGTGTGTGCCCCGTTGTTGACGACGCCAGCGCTTGTCGGCGCACATAAATCAGCAGGAAGCGCTCTTACATCACGGCCGCCCCCGGGGCAGCGTGCGCACATGCGGACGATCGGACGGGCCACCTCACGCTAGCCGCCGCCTCCTCCTTTCTCCGGCTGTTCCCGAGGGTGGGCGCACGTGTGAAGTAGGATGAGGAGCGTCATAAAGGAATGGTGAACCCGAGAAGTCCGCGTGTGGCCCACGCGAGCTCTTCTCTTGCTGAAATTTTGGGCGCTCTCCGTCAGTCGTGGCCACCAAAGCCGTTCATACCTTGCGATTGCTCCCTGT